CAAAGGTGGCTCTGGGATCCCTCTTCATACTTTAAATGTTAATTGATTTGAATGCTGAGACCTGACCGCTTCCCTGCTTTGATGTGCAGAGCTACCTCTTGCTGTCCTGTTTAATTTCATGGTGTCTGCTGTCAGCAGAGGGAAATAGACAGGATCTACCAGCCTGCTTGCCTCTTCTCAGGAATGTTGGTCTTTATGGTGCTGTTGGCCAGTGCAGATCCCTTTAACTTCTTGGGGACTGTGGTAATTTTGGAGCGGATAAAAATTCGGCAGAGGCAAACGAAGGGAGGAGCTGGATGTTCGGTTTTATCTCTGGCCTGAATTAGCTGATTGTTTTCTTTCGGCAAGGTGGAGGGAGTTGGCCAAACGGTGTTTTTAAAAGCAGAAGAGGGACTAAGGTGGCCACTGTGCTTCATCATACAGGATGAATGATGAATTTTGGAGGATGAATTTTGAAATCAAAAAGGGGAGCATTGATGCACAGCATCTGCTGCATAGCGTGTTTCTGTAGTGTTCTGTCTTGGGAGGTTTTTCTTGACATCTACTGGTAACTTACTCTGAACTAGGTCAGTCAGTAGCATTAACTATCTTAGCTAAAATTACATACGAGAAGAATTCGTTGCACTTAAAATTGACGAGTAGCGACCAATATCTCTTTGCTTCTAATCACTGATAGAATAATACAAATGGTATTAAAACCTCTTGAGTTCTACTTTTATTTTGTATGAGTGACTTGATTTAGCTCTTCTAGATCATCTTGAAGCTGTTCTTTGTGAAACAATAATGCAGGGTTTCATGTAAACAATGTAAAGAAGTGCTTGGGACAACTTTAACACATAAATTGGAAATTCCATTTCCTGTTTCTATTTTGGTATCTTGGTTAAAAGGAAACTGAAAACGCTAGGATGTTTTTAAATGACTCTTGCAAATGAGAATTTTGTCCTTTACTAAAGCATAGCCACCACTAGCATCTTATTCTTTTTATTAGATTCACGGGAGTATCTTTCACTGTGTTGGTTAGAAGATTTGTTTAAGTCACTGTACACTCTCTATATATTATTCTTATTTTTACAGCTCTTTTTAGAGGGCCCTGGTGAGGGAGGAGAATGCACCAGCGTATTAAAGCTCGGATGTATAAACTACCACATCTTTATTTCCATCTCTATTTAGAGTAGGATAATTTCTTACCATGAGTTAAAGAATCTAGTAGGTAATTAAAATGTATAGTGAATGACATCCTATGAGAAGTCGTTGTGAGCTCTTTCTGTTTGTAATTGTAATTGCCAATTTGTGTCCACAAAAAGTATATTTCGGGACCTTATTGTATTAAAAAATTGATAAAAAATGTGTATGGATTTTTAGATTTTTTTGAGTCCTCTTGAAATTGAATGTTGGCATATTTTGTTTTATTAGTACTACTGCAAGAATAGAAAACTTGATATATTTCATATTTCCCATATGTACATGTTCTGTTTTCTCTGCACAGCCATACCTGTTGCTCCGACAGACCTGGTGAAAAACGCTTTGAAGAACATCTAGTAATTTCATAGTTACAGATGACAGGATAAGCATCAGACTTTTTTCCTGCCAGTCCAGAACTTGCTCAGATTCTACCTTCTTGTGTCACTTCAAGCAAACTTAAATTTTGAGATGATCAGCACTGTCATTCAAGAGATGGATGGAATGACACAATTTTGATCTTAAAAGCAGTTTAATTGTACGGTTGCCAAGTACAAAGTGATCACCGAAGAAGTTTGGTTCTTTTTTTTTGGCATGCAAATCAGTACTTCTCTCCTTCAGCTATCCTGCCTTAGCTGGCTGTCAAACATGCTTTGCCTATCAAGGCAGCATGTCCTTATTAAAAAGGACTTGTTGAGAAACAGCAATAATCTGCTTTTCTTGACACGTTTCTTGGTCCACCTTTTAAAAATAAAATGTGAACTGTAGTTATAACTATCTTTAATACAGATTACACTGTAGTTATAACCATCTTTAATACAGATTACACAAAACAATTCATATTTACTAAAAACTAGCAACCAGAATCATTTTCTTACTATTGTAAGTGTGATGGAAATTATTTTATAAAGACCTTTTTAAGCCTCTGTTAAGAGTTTTATTGTGGGGTTTTTTTAAGTAAAAATGAACCTTTGACTTTGAAACTGTTAGAAGTTTGTTACAGCTAGTTCAGTGTTCACATCTCCTGAAATGAAGAACAATTTAAAATAACAATTTGGTCTGGTAATTAAGGTAATTTTAGTGAAACTAGGCTGCAGTTGTGAGAACTAAAATACTTAGCTTGACCTTGCAGTTTAATATCTCAAACCAGTTAATGTAAATAGAGGAATCTGAAGCTTATGGGTGCTAGATAATAATCTAGGTCCAGACCTGCAGTCCAAACTCCATTTTCGTGTAATGAAGTTGAGATGAGTCGGGTAGTATGAAATCCTTTGAATTCATGTCTCTGAATACTGAGCTTCTGTAGCTTTCCTCTGGCTTCAACTTACATGCAAATTGTGGCTTTTCTTAATATTAGTGACTTAACCTTACTACTGACTATTTGCCTCTGTTAATTGCAGTAAATGAATTTTGAAATGCAGTATGGTTTTTTTCCCTGGTATATGTAAAATACACATTATTGTGTATATATTTTGGTTATTATAATTAAAAATACCTTCCTTCCAGTGGGTCCTTACAGCAAGGTTTTGTATTTCATCACAGAAATCAGGTTGGAAGGGACCTCTGGAGAGGTTACTTAGTCCAGCTCCACTGCTCAAGGCAGGAGTGGTTTTGGGCCTTGTTCAAGGATGGAAATCCTTCACCTCTCTGGGCCCTATTCCAATGTTTGACTACTGTGATTGCAATTTTTTCTGTAATATACAATTGGACTTTCCCAGGTGGAGCTTGTGTCTGTTGCCTCTTGTCCTTTCTCTGTGCATCTTCAAGAATAATGTCTCCGTCTTCTCTTGTACTTTCACATTAGATAGTTGAGGACAACAAGAAGATTTTTCCTGTTTGGCTTCTCAAGACTGAACACTTTCCTTGACATCTTCTTGCATGCTGTGTGCTGCGGCCCTGTAGTCATCTTGGGACTTTCCACTGGACGTGCTTTAGTTTATCAAAGTCCATCTTGTTCTGGGAAGCAAGTTTGCCAAAGGAAACTTTTTATCCAAAACAAACATATTTGTATCCTTGTAAATTAACCTCTGAAGACCAAGTTTTCTAAGCTTTACAATCTGCTTTGTTAGCTAGAATACAAATAATATATTTAAAAAAAACCAAAAAACCACAAAAAACCACAACCACTGGGCCTCATTTTCATCTTAAGTGTCATAGAGTGGAAGGTTATACACTTATATTTATCAACTCTGTGCAACACTGAATAATCTGATGAATATGCTTAAATAGCTCTGACGGTGTCTTGTTCACTTTCTTCTTTTACTGTAAAGCTGATGGGCTGTGATACAGCCCCCTGGGAGGGAACGGCAGCACCAAGGAACAGTAAAATTTTATGGGTGTTTGAGAAGTGTTGTTGCATGGGGGACCCTGGCTGGCAAGGAACTTACTTTGCAGTGGAAGGATGCACAGGAGAGTATTGCAGGTGAATGAGGACCATCTGGAGCAGAGAAATTGTTTTGGGAATATAGCATTAAAATCAGTTCTAGTTACATAAATAGAAATTTGGCTGCAACTGCAGTAACTAGCAATTCTTACATCTTAAAAGCAAACGGAAGTTCAGACATTAAGGAAGGAAAAATGACAGCATAACCAATAATTATATAAAACAAAGAAAAACTAAAAACAAGTGGGGTTTAAAGAGTGAATTTATATCTGCTACAGATGTATGTATTAATTCCTCAGCAGAAATCTTCCTAGCATGCTGCAACAACTTACTGGGCAGACCATATACAGCACAGACTCTGATATATGCTGTATACCTGTAGGTTTGTTGGTTTTTTATTTATTTTGACTTTTCTAAATGGGAGTAGTAGGTATTATAATCCATAATTAAATGGGCAATGCTAATTAAACTTTAATTATGTAATCCATATACAAAATTTTAAAGTTTTCCCTGCCATATTTTCATGTGTGCTGAAGTGAATAAACATTAAAAAAAACCAACCAAAAAAGTTTGTCCAGAAGAAGATTTTTTTTTTTTTTTTTAATCAAAATATCTGTGTAGCAGGGCATAATAGCACAGGAAAAGGAGGGGAAATTAGTTCACCTACCTCATAGTGTTGGGAATTGTAACCATCCCATTGCCACTCTGATTCTGCCCTGGGTTTTCTTGTCATCTGCCCATGTCAATATGAAAGTGTCCTCAAAAAAAAAAAGCGTACTCCTTCAGACTTGCATCCTGGCCCTGGGCCTCTACAGGAGAAAAGAAGCTTAAGGTGAAACTGTCTGAATTAACTTATTAAAAAATAGATGGAGGCTGAGGAGCAGGCAGAAGTGGGGAGGGGGCAACTGGGGTGGTGTGCTGGGAGGGAAGTTCTTGATTCTGCTGTGTTGTTGGTACTTAGAGCATTCACATCAATACTCGTAGGCTAGGGGCTCTGGGATGCCCCTGGAAAATGTCGTTCTCTGCTGTTAATTTTAAGCTCTTCAGTGTGAAGGTGGAAGCTGAGACAGTTTCCTTAAGGTGGGGTGAATGGAGAAAAAGGTAACCCATTCTCTTCTCTGTAACCTACCCCTAGTGCCTTTTTAGCAATTTGGCTGTGGGCTTTAACTTATTCAAGATGTTAACGTGAGAGATGGGTAAATATTGGCTGTGTTCTGCAGCCCTGACTATGTGTCTGCAGCTGCCCCAGGTGATGGGCCTGATGTGAAAATACAGACTGCAGCCATGAGCAGGCCTGTATCGAATGGAGTTGTGCTAGTGGGCTCGTGGAAGTATCCAGAAATACTGGAACAAGCATGGTGTGAAGTGCAAAGTGATACTGGCAGCATCTGCCTAACCCGAGAGAGAGCTCCCGTGGGGTAGTTTTCAGTGTTTAAAACGTCCTTCAGGCAGATCACCACGTAGTAGTGCATGCTAAGACAAAAGACTGCAAGTCACTCGTAGCAGAAAGGTAAAAATGCGTGACTAATTCTTGCTGACAGAAGCCACTCGGTAGGTACAAAGTAGAAGATGCATCTCACCCTGTGAGAGCTCTGTGACTTTCCTAAAGACATTTTATCTCCCTTCCTGCTCCTGAAAACCTGCAGTGTTATTTGGGGACAGAGAGTCATCATTAAAAGTCTTAAGCAGCAACAAGATGCTTTAGGAAATGTTCCAATCGCAGAAAACAGGTCACCTGGGCCATGAATGAGATGGTCTAACTAATGCCACCTGTGTCCTGGCCTGCCGGTGAGAGAGGCTGGCTCCCTCATTTCAGCAGCTGAGGTTGGCTGAGCTACTTAGATCAGTATTTCCTACAATAAACACATTCATGCTAAGTGTTCTCTGGAGGATCTTCTGAACTCGATGCTCACTCCCTGCACTGCTCTGACGCAGTCTGACTTTCACTTTTATAATGGGAGACTATCTCTGTGCCCTAATATGAAGATCTGAAGACTTTTGGCAAGATATGGCGCTTTGTTTAGTGAAGTCGTTGGAAAGCAAATGCTTTTACTTTCCTTCTGTGAGGAAACTGCTGTGTTGAGTGGCATGCAATGCTTCCAGATAAGCACATACGCAACATTGTGTTGATCTTACTTTATATCTACAAATCTGTTAATTTGGCCTTTTTTTTGAAAATAAGTTCATTGAAGGATGGAAGTGTTCTGACTGACTTTTCCACAAGCACTTCGTCCTCATAACATGACAGATAACGTGTGCAGGAACCAAAGGTTGTCAGTGAATTCCCCAAAGCCACAGAAGAAATGAAGGGCACAGACAGAAGAAGTATACAGTGTGCAGAATAAATTGAAAAAAAAAACCCAGAAAAGTGAAAAACTAATTGATTTCCACTGAAAGATCACACCTTTCTGGATACTCCTTTCATATGCTAATCCAGACACTGATACAGTCCAGTTTTGCATTGAGGCCTTGTGGAAAATTAATTTTCAGGTGGAAATTTTTATGAATGAATTCAGAGGACAAAATTGGAGCCTCTCTAAGAAATCCAGCACCTTTCCAAAAGATTCCCATTTGAATGAAATTGAATCTGTCATTGACAATATAATTCTTTTGAAAAACCTTTTGACCACTGCTCTTCTCCCGCTGTTTCAGGAGCCGTTGCCTCCGCCGGCAGTGAACGTTTCTGTCCTCTGGGAACACCTCCTCGCACATCTGTTCATGAAAGAAGCACAGTCAAATAATTTCTCTGTGTGCTAGGAGATGTCTTGCATAACACTGAAAATTTTCAGTAACTGTGCTTCTAGAGTTGTCCTGGTCCTTTCCCAATGGATGTTATATTAATATTTATAACTTTGTGTCTGCAATATGGCAAATGTGTTACAAACTCTGTCTAAAATGCTATTTCCATAATAGTGTTCTCCCCGATTCCTCCCTGTATGTTTTTTTTTTTTTTTCTTGTGATGAATAATAAAATCTAGCATTTCCCTTTTCCTTAAAAATGATCAGCAGTTGGTGCCAGTGCCAGGGTGCTAGTTTGTGGAGACCAAATGTTCAGATATAACAGCAGCGGGCATTGGAGAGCAGCCCTTTGCAGTGCTGCATTTCTCAGACTGAGCTAAGTATTCTTGGACTTTTTTTTTTTTAATCACCACTTTGAATTAGGATGTGTTCCCCAGTGCTGAAATAAAAAATCCCATGAATTCTTGCTTAATGATTGGAAATACTGTTTCAAATGCCTGTTCCCATTTCAATACTCGTTGCATATCTGTATTTAACTGAAATGGTGTAAGTTGTTGACAGCTTACTTTGATTTAATAGGAGAAGTCTGGTGGTTGTTTTCAGACTCTGGTAACAGCAACTCTTAAAATAAAATATGAGCTTGGCTCTAGATTTCTATCTGATTTTCA